AGGAAGGAGCAGCAGAAACAACATGTGATGAACTGATCGTAACCCCCATTCCCCATTCCCCTGCGCTGCTTGGAGGGAGGAGACAGAGAATTCGGAAGTAGAGTTGAGGCTGGGAAGAAGGGAGGGGCGGGGGGAAGGTGTTTTTAAGATTTGGTTTTATTTCTCATTACCCTACTCTGGTTTGGTTGGCAATAAATTAAGTTAATTTTCCCCAAGTCGCGTCTGGTTTTGCCCATGATGGTAACTGGTGAGTGATTTTTCCCTGTCCTTATCTCAACCCACAAGCCTTTTGTTGTATTTTCTCTCCCCTGCCCAGCTGAGGAGGGGGATTGATAGAGCGGCTTTGGTGGCCACGGGGCATCCAGCCAGGGTCAACCCACCACACATGTGCTTACACCACAGTTAGTTGTATGGAGGTAAGGGATAAATATTTCTGTCTGAGTCACCTTTCATCTGCTGGGAAGCCCAGAACAGCACCGGGACACCCATGGCTGCCCCACAAGAGGCCTCCAAGTCTCTGTTTCTCAAGGGCTTCTCCAGCTGGCTCACCGCCCGCACATATATTTTGTCTAAACAGGACTGCAAGTATGTGAAGTGTTAAATCAAACAAAATACTTTCATTGTAAACAACCTTTTTAAAGCCAGATTTAATTGCCTTAGACAAGTGGGACTTTCAAACAGCAGAGCAGTGTTGTGTTTGTCCCCAAGTGGGTTTGAGTTTGCAATTTGTCAAATGAGGAACAAACCAAAAGGGAATCGATCCGAGACCTTCTCAGACCAGCCCCAAATTCATCAATGGAAGAGGCAAAGTCATGCTTAGAAGACCAGTCCATGTCCCTACAGCGGGGAAAAGTCTTCTGCACCAGGTCTCAGACCGATTCACCTGCTGCTCCTCGAGGAGTTGCCCGTGTCTCCAGTTCGAGGGCACTGGAGCTGCCATCACTCTTGCTTCTGCATGGTGCTGAGCGTGCGGCACTAAAAGTTAAACCAAAACACTCCAGCCAAGCAAGGCCTGCCATCCCCAGGGAGCGTAAAAGATGTCAGAGCCACGGAAATGACTCATTTCCCTGGAAAAAGAACGGCTATTGTTTGGAAAGCAGCAAGGAACCAGCAAAGGAAAACAGGAAAAATTAGCAACAAGCGCTCCTGCAGCTCAGACTAGACCCTGGCCAAAAATTCGCATTCGTGATAACAAAGCTTTTTCTCAGGGATTTCCAAAGGGCATTCTTTAACTCTTTGCTTCTAAGACTGAAGATGATGGGGCTGAGGAAGGGGGTGAAGACCGTGTAGGACACATCAATGAGAGCATTCATTCCCGCAGCGTGGGGCAATTTGCATTGCAGGTAGATAACGGAGGCGCAGCCATAATGCACCACCACTACAGTGACATGGGAGGCACAGGTGGAGAAGGTTTTGTGCCTCCCCTCCGCTGAGGGCATCTGCAGGATGCGGCCAAGGATGAAGGCGTAGGAGAGAAGGATGAACAGACAGCAACCCAACAAGGTAGTCATGCAAAGGACGTTGACTATGGTGGCAACCACCTCACCACCAGCACAAGCCAGCTGGAGCAGGGGGGGCACGTGGCAGAAGAAATGGTCGATCCGGTGGGACTGGCAGAAGGGTAACTGGAAGACAGCGCAAGTCACCAGCAGCCCCAGGAGACCCCCACCCAGCCATGAGGCAACCACCAACCGGACACAGACATGGGAGGTCATGAGGCTGTTGTAACGCAAGGGGTGGCAGATGGCCACATACCGGTCGTAGCCCATCACCGTCAGGAGGAAAGAGTGCATGAAGCCAAAGGTGAAGGAGAAATGCATTTGTGCGGCACAGCCCAGGAAAGAAATGGCTCGAGTTCCCGGCACTAACCCAGACAGCATCTTTGGGGTGATGGAGAAGGTGTAACAGAGCTCTGAGAAGGACAGGGCACCTAGGAAGAGATACATGGGCACGTGCAGACCCCGATCCGCCCCGATAACAACCATTATCACCATATTTCCAGCCAGGGTTACCACGTGCATGAGGAGAAATAGCACAAACAACGCACCCTGGAGCTCGGGAAAGTGGGAAAACCCGGTCAGAATGAACCCTCTCGGGGTGCTTTGGTTGTCCCTTTGCATTTGTGATTTGTCAGAGAAGAGCACAACATTTTAACCAGCAGCTCAGCCTCCTGTGGAGAAAACAGCACTTACATCAGACTTAAATTTTTGCTTTCTATCCGTCTCCCACAGGAAACAACGTGGAAATCGATGTGCATGTCTGAGATCTACCAAACCGTTTCTTTGCCCAGCAATACCTCATGTACCTTCAGAGTTTCTGTCCTGGCACAGCTGAGAAGTTGTTAGTAATGTCACTAACGTGTCGGTTTATATTAAACTCAGTCCTGGCCCATGCTGATGCATGATGGCCAAGCCAAGAATGGCAGAGAATCACACAAGAGGTTGGAAAAGACCCTTAAGATCATCGAGGCCAACCGTTAACCTACCAGTGCCAAGCCCACCACTAAACCAGGTCCCTAAGCGCCATGTCTACACATCTTTTAAATCTCGCCATGGTCATCTTTAGCCAAACTGTTGGTATCTCTGTGACGGTTGGTGCCAGGACTTTGTAGGTAACAGAGTTACTCCGATACATCCATGAGGACCAACCGTAAGAGCAAGAGGGGCTGCTTTACGTGAGCAAAAGACGAGCATGGCGAGGTGTAGCCTGGCACAAGGACTGATTTGGGGATCTTCCCCTCTTCGGGCTGAATTTCCCTGCGGACGCTTGATCCTGTGTCAAGCACAAAGCATCTTCTCGTTCTCCACCTCTCCACCGCTTGAAGGGTTGTGCTGCCTTAGCTGGGGGGGAGTGTGCTGGATTCCCCCGCGCGCAGAGGCACCGATTGCAACTGGAAAGAAGAAAGAAGAGCAGAAAGGGTGTTAGGTCCTCGGTGGGGCCAGGGGACGCAGCAGTGAGATGGTTGGGTTCATCACGGCCGGCTGCAGACCTCCGTCAGCTTCTCCACAGCCTCCTTGCTCTCACCTGGGATCTGCACCCACCATAGCTGCTCCTGGGGCTTTCTGGAGCGGGGGGTGGACACCCTACATGTTCTGCACTGGGATGAACTTGGATCCTTCACCCCATCAGCAGATCTGGGCAAGGAATAGGACAAAACCAGGGAAGAGCAGCATGGCCAGCAGTCCCACCAGACACCAGGAGAGTCAACCAAGCTACATCTTACAGGGATGTCTCACCTAACTCTGGACGCCCACCATTTCTCTTCTTCTAGAGGGGAACGGGAATTTTTCACGGGGACTTTTCCAATCGCATCAGTCACTTACCTTCAGAGGGGCTGGCTCACGCTGCTCCAGGGGTCTTCATGCTCCGGGATCATGATCCAGCTTGAGGGCTGTCTCTAGGCATCAGGGATGTTGGAAATTAGAGGAGATACAGTTTGATGTCATGGTCTTGGAACTGTAGGAATTCCTTAATACCTTTAAAACTGGTTTTTCCTGCTGCTGCTTTCAATCCCCAGGCTTCGGGAGGAGAAGCTGTTTCTCCACCTTCAGCAAGAGGGCACCCACCTGATGGAAACGATGAAGCGATGAGCATTCGCTCTTCCAGGAAGGACAGACGCACGGGGCAACAGCCTGATCAGCCCCGTGATGATCCCATCTGCTTTTTCCCTCGGTGGCCGGCCACCAACATGGCTTGTACAGAGGGACTTAAATAGCTTGTAGGCACGGGGGTGGGTGGAGGTACTGGATGGAGCGTCATCATCCAAGGTCAGACAGTGCCTGGCTCTTACAGAGGTCCCAGGTGGCAGCAGGGGCTGAAGATTTCATGTTCCCTTGGTGCAGAAGCTTAGGGACGCGTAGGAGCTCAGCCTGGCACCGGAGCTGGAAGAACCAGCCTGTGGGGAGGTGGAGACGTGGCTCCCTCCGTCACGTCTCCGGAGGTGAAGCATCCCACGTGGGGCCACGCCAACAGGGAATCCTGGCGCTTCTCCAGAGGTTGGTGATGTGCAGCACCGTCTGCTAGCCATAAAGAGGATTAAACATCTGCACGGGGTCTGGAGGTGACACTGTCACCCCAGGCTGCAGCTCCAGCAGACAGGACTGCCTTGGTTTTCTTGAAGATCTCAAGGGCTGAGCCCTTTTAGCTTGAAAACTCCACGGTTTTGCGCAAAGAGTGGAAGGGAGGGGTTGTGTGCGCGCAGCTCCTGGCACGAGGTCGCCTTCCCCACACGCCACGGGACGAGCAGCTCTCCTCCAGGACTGCACTCGAAAAGCCCGGCCAGGAGGTGCCACCTCCCACCCTTGGCCACCAGCCCAAGGCCTGATCACACAGAGCACCCGGCTTTTAGGGTCTCCTGCGGTGGCACAGGACCTCTCCACGGGCCTGAGATAGTTAAACGTTGCGTTTTAAGACTAATTCTGAAAAACACAATGATGCGCCCGAAACCATGAGGGGGTTGGCTGGGCTACCCAGGTCTCCGGTGGAAACCCACGGCCTCTTGTTTCCTTCTCAGGGTGCGAGGCGAGGACTCATCCCTAAGTCCAGAAGTCCTCTGTGGAGGTATCTCCACCAGAGTTGGTTCCCCAGATACTCAGAGAGCTGGAGAAGATCTGTGCTAAGGAGTCTGGGGCACAAATCTTCTCCAACATAAAGGTGACCATTTGTAGGGTCTCATGCTCCAACCTTCCCCTCGGGGACCACCCAGAGACCTCGGGCAAGCAGCTCGAAAGCAGACCTGGCACATGGAACCAGGCTCCAGACCAATGGCCTCATCACAGACAGCTCCAGTGTCAGCCAGAGCTTCTGGTCAAGCTCTCTGGGCTGGGATTTAGTTGCCTACAGCTCTGCCAGGCTGTAGGACATCCCGAGAACTTCTCAGAGGTTGTCTTAGCAAGGTCCATCACCTTTGGACCCCCACGACCAGCTCCATCTCAGCCTGCGGTCATTGGAAGGCGCCTTCATCACCGCAGCAGCAGCTCTGGTAGAAATGACGGGATTTCATTGCGAGTCCCCCCCAACATTTCCACCCACACCTCCAGGATGGAGATGACCTCTGTGCCACGAGGGAGGTGGAGGAGCTGAGCTGAGCCTCCAGACACCACCACGGGGAAGTCCGGCTTAACCCCAGGGCTGGAGAGGAACCCACGGGGAGAAACTCTTCCCCTCCGGCTGTGCGACCAAGCAGCTCCTGCTTTGCCTCCCCATGTCTTCAGAGGGGTGGTGAGCACCCAACCCCTGTCTCTTGTCCCCACGTGGCTCCTTGACTTCTTGGAGCTCCATCCTGGTGGCCGCCCGTCCCTCGCTACTTGCCCCTTCACCACCGTCACCCACCCCAGCTGCCTTCGCCTGCCCTGGAGCATGCTCAAAGGCAACTTTTGGGGAGCAACAGGGAGCCGCCGGTGAGGATCTGAGGTGAGGGGCTCGTGGGAGGAGGCTGGGGGAGCACCCATGGGTGCTGCAGGAGATGGGGCAGGAGAAGGGGCGACTCCAGGGGACGGAAGGACAAGGATGGGGGGGTGGGGGAGCAGCCGGCAGTGGGCAGGGGTGGGCACAGCCCGAGGGGAGATGGGGAGACCCGTCCTGCCTGAAGCATGGGGTGATCTGGAAAACAGCCTAACCCTCATCCTAAACTTAACCTTAACCCAAACCCTAACCATAAACCTAACCCTGAACTTAACTGTAACACCAACTAAAACCCTAAACCCCACCCTAAACCTAACCCCAAACCTAACCCTAACCTTAACTATAACCCCAACCAAAACCCTAAACCCCACCCTAACCCCAAACCTAACCCTAACCCTAAACTTAACTGTAACCCCAACCAAAACCCTAAACCCCGCACTAACCCTAACCCCAAACCTAACCCTAACCCTAAACTTCACTGTAACCCCAACCCAAACCATAAAGCCAAACCTAACCCTAAACCAAACCCCATCCTAAACCTAAATTTAACTCTAACCCTAACCCTAACCAAACCCAAGCCAAACTCTAAACTTAGTCCAAACCCAAACCCTAGCCCTAAACTTAAATCTGATCCTTACCCTACCTCTAACCCTAACCTTGACCCAAACCCAAAATATAGCCCTAACCCTAACGTTAGCCCAAACCCAAACCCTGCCCCTAACGTCAGCCTTAACCCTGATCCTACAACATGACACCCAAACCCTAACGCTAACCCCAACCCTAACCTGAGCCCTAACCCACACCCAAACCCTAATCTTAATGTCAGCCTTAACTCTACACCCTAACCCCAACCCTAATCCTGATAGCAGCCTTAAGCCTGATCCTACAACCCAACACCCAAACCCTAATGCTACCCTGACCCTAACCCTGACCTAAACCCTGACCTTAATGTCAGCCTTAACCCTGATCCTACAACCCTAACCCGACCTCTCACCCCAACCATGACCCTAATGCCAGCCTTAACCCTGTTCCTACAACCCCAACCCTAACCTGAGCCCTAACCCACACCCAAACCCTAATCTTAATGTCAGCCTTAACTCTGACCCCTAATCCCAATCCAAACCCTGACCCCAACCCTAACATCAGCCTTAACCCCACCCCAGCCCCACCACTGAC